GAGAGAGAGCAGCCTGAAGAAATTGAATTGTTTTCAAACATCTCCAAGTACTTCTGTGTCCCCTTCAACAAGATGACAAGATGCAGCAAACATGACATGTCTCTTTCTTGATGGCATTCAGAAAAAGATAACACACTTGAAATTAGGAGGAGGTTCCAAGCATCAATAACTAAATCAAAATACTCAGGGAAAAGATTTTATTCAGTCTGTTGCACCTCCTTGATCTCACTGTCTGTTTTCTTTTATTTGGGACAGGTTCTCTCTATTTAGTCCCAGCTATCCTGGAATTTGCTATGTAGACCAAATTGGCCTAGAACTCAGAGTTCCTCCTGCCTCTGCCAAGAATTAAGGGCTTATGCCACCATGCCCAAGGGATTTTGCTGCCGTTCAAGAGAGATCACCATATTCCTTAAAGTTGTTTTACAAATTAGGTCAAAGAGTATCCTTACAGTGCCTAACACTGTGCTCTGGCTGCTTTACTCAGTCCTATGAGAGAGATGCTCCTTCCTGCCCTGTCAGGACCCAATGTGAATGACCAAGTTGATGGTGTGTTCTCCAGCCTCAGTACCTCTCTGTGAATACTCTCTAGAATGGGCCTCTCTCTGGTCTCGACAAAGAATAAATCTTAGTCCAGGATTGGTTCAAGGTCTTGCTTTCCTTTCTTTTTAAAAGAATGTCTTTGTGTTTGCTATGTATATTTTCTTCTATTACTGTGACAAATACCATGACTAAAGGCAACTTGAGGAGACAGCTCATCACAAAGGGAAGTCAGGGTAAGGAACTCAAGGAAGGAGCCTGGAGGTAGGAAATGACGCAGACCAAGAAGGAATGCTGCTTACTGGTTTTCTTGCTCTCCATGGCTCACTTAACCTGCTGTTTAAACACCACCTTTACACCCTGAACCATCTGCTCAGAGGAGGCACCACCCTAGTGCACTACGCCTTCCCACATTAATCACTAATGAAGAGGGTGCCCTCACAGAACCATCCGAGACAGGTCTTTTGTCAATTAAGGTTCACTCTTCCCAAATGACTTTAGTTTGTGTCAAGTTGACAAAAATCAACCACTACAACTGATCCCTTGTCCACGTGATACAAATCCCCCTCACTGGAAAACCATGACCTTGTTCCTCCCCTCAAGATCTCATTTAATATCACAATATAAAACATAGCATAGCTTTACACGTCCCACTTTAAAATTTCAGTCTTTTTTAAGTCTCCATCGCTTTATAACTCCAAAGTGTCTCAACTATGGGCTCCTGTAAAATAAAAAAAAAAAAATAGCCTACCTCCAAAAGAGAAAAAAACAGAGCCCAGTAACAATTGGATCAAAATAAAACCAAATTCCAGCAGTGTAAATCCAATCCTGTAGCTCAGTGCCCAAGAGCTTGGACTCACTGAGTATCTTCTGAGCTCCAAAGAGCTTGGACAGCTCTTCCACCCTGACTCCACCATCTGCAGCACACACTGCTTGTCTTATAGTTTCAGGCAGATTCCACTCCCTACCTGCCACTGTCCTTCCACAGTCCTGCCATCCCAAATATCTAGGATTGTTCACTACAGCTGAGGCTGAACCCTCTACCTGGGCCTCTCTTCAGGGACTCTGACCCTGCCACGCAGTGCCAAGCCTCAGTTTCTCTCCATGAAGTGTGGGTTATTGACTTTACATAAGAGACAGAAAATACAGATTTGACAATGGTGTTAAGAGATAAATGTAGACGTGAAATGATTTAGAACTAATATATTAGCTTATATGTGTAAATCAAAAAGCATAAATATATTACTAACTTCACTAAAAATGTTTGGCAATTCTGTATAATAATTGCTTGCCTTAACTTTCTAAGGTATGAAATTTGACTAGACTAACCTTGAATTTTCATACAACATCCTCTTTCCTCCTTTGTTCCTTTTACTCAATGCATACTGCTTTTGCCTCTTTTATTTACATTCTAAATAACAGATTTCTCTTAATCATTCTAAGACATACATCACAAAATCTACTTAATTAAAAAAAAACTGAACGACATCATTCCTAATTTTTTCTACATGTATAGTATTTTGTCTTCATGTCTGTCTGAGTACCACTTGTATGCCTGATGCCCATGGAGACCAGAAGAAGGCATTGAATCATTCCCTAGGACTAGAGTTGTGAGGTATCATGTGGGTTCTGAGAATTGAACTGAACCTGGGTCCTCTAGAAGAACACCTAGAACACCTAACTGCCAAACCATCTCTTCAATCTCAAACATCATACATTCTAATAACCAATTAAAGAAAATTCAGAAGAAATATAAACCTTCCCAGATTCTTCAAGAACCAAATAACACATTCGCTATGAAATGCAGTGCTGGTGGTCCCTGGTGATCATGTACCCCACTTTTGTGTGTGTGTGTTCTACTTCTGCAATAACTCCCCAATCTTCCTGAGGCTTTCATACTGTTGTGTTGGATAGTTTATATTAACCTGACACAAGCTACAGTCATCAGAGAGGAAGGACCCTCAGTTGAGAAATGCCTCTAGAAGATCAAGCTGTAAGGAAGCCTTTAGGGCATTTTATTAATTTGTGTTTGGTATGGGACAGCCCAGCCCACTGTATGAGGTTAAACCCCAGGGCTTTTGATCCTGAGTTATATGAGAAAGCAGGATGAGCAAGCTACGGAGAGCAATCCAGCAAACAGCACCTCTCCTGGCTCTACGTTCCGGCTTTGTTTGGATTCTTAGCCTGACTGCTTTCTATGATGAACAGTGATATGGAAGAGTTAGGAAAATAAACTCTTTCCTCCCCAAGCTGCTTTCAGTCATGATGTTTCATCACAGCAATTTGCCTAATACAGAAACTGGTACCAGGAGTAGGGTATTGCTACAGCAGACCTGACCATGTAGCTTTAGGAAGACTGTAGATTGACTTTGGAATTTCAGGCTGGAAAAGCTATTGAGTGTTGAGAGCTTAGTAAGCTATTCTGTGGGAGATAAGAAAATCAAGAGAAATGTAAACAGTGGACAACTGGCTTAGGAAGTTTCAGAGGGAAGCAAGGATTCTACTGAGCCATTTGCATGTAAAATCTGTGGTGTATGGCCAGCCGATTCTGAAGAATCAGTTGTAATTGACAAAGAGATTAGAACCACTAAAGAAAAACCTTTGCTTTGCTAGAATAATGGAAGTTGGTCAGCTGGGCCTGAAGAGTTGGTCGTGATTTAAGAAGAGACCAGCACTATTGAAGTGCAGTCTTTCTGGAAATAGTTCTTTAGATTCAGCACACAGCAGCTGTGTTCAAAAGGTGGCCAGTTGCCGGGCGATGGTGGCGCATGCCTTTAATCCCAGCACTCGGGAGGCAGAGGCAGGCGGATCTCTGTGAGTTCAAGACCAGCCTGGTCTACAGAGCTAGTTCCAGGACAGGCTCCAAAGCCACAGAGAAACCCTGTCTCGAAAAACCAAAAAAATAAAAAAATAAAATAAAAATAAAAAAAAAAAGGTGGCCAGTGACGTACTTCATGCTGGAAGAAGTTGGTATTATAAGAGTCATCCAGGTGGTAATGTTTTTGAAGGCATCAATGGGACATGTTACTTTGTGGCAGGGCTGGAGTCCATGAAGTGAAAACAGTGAGAACGTAGTCCAGTTGCAGCAGGAGACCCAGCATTTTGGAGATACCCGTACCGTGGGAAAACTTCCAAGTACCTCTAGCAGGCACGGAGTGGAACTTGCCTAAGCCTACTACACAAGCTGTGTGTGCTGTGGTAAGCCCTTTGGAGGAACCTAGAACATCATGAATTCTAGAAGTCTGATACTGAGATTTATGTTGTTAGACTTATAGCTTTGCTTTGTTCAGATTATGACTGTGCCCTCTTGGAGGACTTACTCCTCTTGGAGTAAGACAGTATTTAACTTATTATTGGTTTTACAGAAGTCCACATTTGAAAGACCTGGAATTATTAAAGAGATTTTGAAGTTTTAGAGACCAGATTTTTAGAGAAGCTTTATCTTTTAAAAGAAACCGGATATATTAAATAGATTGAATTTTTAGTGTTTGAATTTGTGTTTGAAAGTCCTGTAGGACTTTTACATTTGTAATATGTTTTATATTGTGATAGTTATTAATATGAGATCTTGGGGATAAACTGAAAATGGAAAGGTTATTGTTAAATAGTGTGTGTCAAGCTGACAACAGGTTAATTGTGCTGGCTAATTTAATGTCAACTTGACACAAGTTACAATCATCTAAGAGAGGGGAACCACAATTTAGAAAATGGATCCATAAGATCAGGCTGTAGGCAAGCAAGCAGGGTATTTTCCTAGTGATAGATAGGGGAGAATTGCTGCCCATTGTAGGAAGTTCTACTCCTGGGCTGGCCCTGAGTTCTAAGAAAGCAAACTGAGTAATCCATGGATAATTTTTCAGTAAGCAGCATTATTCCATGGCCTCTGTATCAGTTCCTGCCTCCAAATTCCTGCCCTATTTTGAGTTCCTGGCATGCCTACCTTCTATGATGAACTGTGATGTAGACAGAAAGTCAAATAAACATTTTCCTCCTATGCTTGCTTTTAATCGTGGTGTTTTATCACCAATAGTAACCCTAAGGTGAATATTTTGATTTTTTCTTTGTGGATGTGGATCTTGTTCACTCTACTACTAGACTATAGCTCTTGCCCTATTTTGCTCTTGTTTCCAGACAATAAAGCCATAGTTGAGACACTGAGCTTAAGTGATAGCAAGAATTCAACTAACTGCAAAATTCTTCTTATGGCAGTTACCTAGACCATGAGAAAACAATCTTAGCAAGCACATAATTCAGATTAAATACTATCTTTACTAGATAACATTAAAAATCACATGGCTCTACTTACTTCTCCATTACTTCAATTATAAAATTAGGTAGATGTGAATTTTTTAACCATTAAAATGAACAATATATAAAGCATCTAAATCTCATCCATTGGCAATAAATTCCTTTGGTTAGATAAGTCAGTAAGCGGAGCTGCTCACGTCACATTTGTGCCATACCTGTCCTGTGTAGGCAAACTCCAGAGCCTGCTTTAAGCCCAGGCTGGTCACGCCTCGTAAGTTTACTTCATCGGCTTCACTCTCCACCATACAAAGACTGAACATGGCCTGAAATGTGGAGAGAAAGAAAGAAAAGAGTGAAGTATGAGATCTAAAAAGCAAGAAAGACAATGTCCTAGGGAAACTGGGATGTAAAGGTTTTCAGTTAAAATGTAATTCTGGTGTCCAGGTCACTTCCAAAAAGCTTCATTTGCACAAGCCTCGACTCCTATCTGATAGTTAAACAGTTACAGTAAAACACACCACACACACATGCACACACAAATACACACACACATACACACACAAACACCATCCAAAGATAAGAGAGTATTACTTTACATATGAATGAGATCCGTACCCAAAAAGGGAAATGAGGGTCTACCTGAGTCTGCACCAGGCCCCTTTCTTATACTATATGGCTTTGGTTTAGTGTTTCATGGCATTCCCGAGCATGCAAACAAGTGGGTCTCTGTATCTTCTGTTTTGACTAATTCCGACTTGTTAGTTTTGTGTTATCATTTTATTATTAACCCTAAGAAGCCTGTTTGTTTTCTAATGAGAGAGAGAAAGGGAGTGGATCCAGACTGGACAGGAGCTGTGGATGAACTAGAAGGAGGAGAGGGAGGGAAAACCATAATCAGCATATATTATATAAGAAAAAGATCTATTTTCAATCAAAGGGGAAATTTTCAACAAAATGAAAAAGAAGACTGCTATTGCAGAGCACCTGAATTCAGTACTAGAGCCCAGCACAACCAGCTCCTGGGACAGTACCAGGTTTGCCTGGGGTGGTACACCTGTCAAACAGTAACACAGGTATCCTAAGGGGAGCCCAGGGAGGACAGAAACTGTTATGGTATGTCCTGTCCCTTTAAGAGAAAAGCCCCACCCACTCCCACCCACTTCTGCTGAGGCAAACAGATCTTCCTTCTGCTTCCAGCCTGTGCTCTCTCTTAATCACATGGTATTTCAAGAGGTGGCTAAAAACTCTTCCTGTCCTGTCCCCCTCTCTCTCTCTCTCTCTCTCTCTCTCTCTCTCTCTCTCTCTCTCTCTCTCTCCCTCTCCCTCCTTCTCCCCCTTCCCTTTTACTGAATAAACTATATCCAGACTCACTCTGCATGGCATGCCTATCTGTCTCTGTCTCTCACCCACAGTGGCTCCTCTCCTCATTGGATCTGGTGGCCCTTTGTGGCCCGCGGCTGCACCTCGGGGACCTGCCATTTTATCTAAACTGTTACATTGGTTCCGTGACCTGGATAAATTTTACTTGTTAAGTTGAGAGCCAGTATAATCAAGCATGTACCCAGCTCTCCAGGCAGATTCAATACTGTAGTTATGACTCATATATACCCGGTAAACAGCTCTCAGCTGCTCAGAGATCTGGAGAATATGACATTTAAATGCTCAATTATTAAAAAAAAAACTTTTCATAACAGAAAGAGACAGGTTCCTAGCAGCAGCACTCTGTTTCCTCCCAAGAAGACAGAAGAGAGATGGGCACAAAACAACATCCATCCACAATTCTCTTCAGCTGCCAAGCACTGATCACTGGGCAAAACTGCCTTTCATCTAAATGGAAGATCTCCAGACAGTAAACAGAATCACTGGAATTGACTGCCTAGCTGCTCAGGTCAAGGTAGGCTTGTCTTCCTACAGAGTTCTTAGTCTTCAAGATCTTTTGAAGCCTGGCAGCTCCTGTACTAAACAGCAAAAGAAAAATACAACACTCAGCAACCATGGAGGACCCTGAGGAGTAAGTAGCTCTAGGTGCCAACCAAGTTAGTTCTCTTTCATTTTTTTAATCAATAACTCCTCAAATAAAATTTTATCCTTCTCAAAGATCTCTGATGCAGTTTGCCAGCTGAGAGGTCTTGTCAGTTTAAAAGGACAACCTCTCCAAAAAAAAAAAAAATTCAGTAAAATACAAATACAAGTTATTAAGGTGTGACCTGCAAGTTATAAAGGTGTGAGGACAAATACAATTCGTCAGATCTCTCACACTGCCTTCCATAGTCTTAAAAATACCATTCATTCTGCAAAAACATCTGTCACAGTCATTCTGATATGCTACTATTATTTATATTTACATATAAACGTGCTACTGTTTATACAAAATATATGTCTAAGACTTATGTTTTCACAAACCCAGAGAATTTTTGTGAGTTCCAGGGAGCCAAATTGAAGAATTAACCTTAAACAGATCAGAATCATCCGTCTCAATTTCATAGTCCTGATTTTTTTTTTTTTTTCTTCCTAAACTTGGCTTTGTCCTCTGTTCTGCTAACACCTTGCCAGGTTCAAGAGATACCAGACAGTTCCATACCACAAACCCTGGGCGGGAGTAAAGTGACCAGCTACCCCAGGATGTTACCAGCATCCAGTTTTCTCAGGTCCCCCCAAGATGACACCCACAAATAAGCAGGAAGCAGACTTGAGAATCCACTGTCCCGATTCCTTTAACCTGTTGTGCCTAACTTTCCACCTTTTTATTATAAGAAAGAGATAGGAATGGTATGATTTGCTGGCCTGATCTGTCACCTGGGTACCCTGCCCCTTTAAAAGACAATCCCTGCTCTCTCCCAACCTCTCCCCTTCTGCTGAGGGAAGTGGATATCCTGCCTCCTCTAGCCATCTCTCTCCTGAAGAGGTAACTTCTGCTTTCTCTCTCTCCCTTTCTCTCTTCTTCCCCCTCTCTCTCCTTCTCTCTCTGTGACTCTCTTCTTCCCCCCTCTTCCCTTCCCCTTCTATAACCCACTAAATAAACTCTACCCACTTTCTCTGAATGCCATCTATCTATCTCTCACTGGCTGCAACTCCTCATGGGACAGGCTGCCCGGCTGACCCGCTGAGATCTCTCACCTGCTGCTACCCACCAGTCCGAGACCCACAGAGACCTTGGGTGTTTGGACTAGCTGCCCCTCATGGCCCACTGCGCCCCTCGGGGAACCACAGCATTTTATCTAAACCATTACAAAAACCTCTCATGGAATAGAAGGGCAAAAGCTCATTTGACCTTAATTTGCAGTATGACTACAGACCATGAAAAAGGGGCCTCACAATCCTTCTGATCTTTTGGGTTTTAAAAGTTACCACAGGGATAACTCAGAATTTAATTAAAAAAAATCATGTCAATAGCAAAGGTTTAAAAAAAAAAGACTTTTTTAAAAATCACATAGCAACAAGCCAAGAGAATTATAAAGACATGGTCTATTTGTTCTTTGTAAAACCAAACTGCACTACCTGCAGGAAGTACCCAAAGGCTATTCAAAGGAACAAAATCTGTGGTGGCCAAGGGTTCATAGTGATGTTGCTTTTTTTTAAAAATTAATTATGTTTTACATATCAATCCCATTTTCTTGGTTTTTTGATGTCGGTTCTTCCTATCATTGTGAAGCAGAATTCACCAAGCGTTGGATTGTTCACCCACTAATAGGGAACGTGATCTGGGTTTAGACAGCCGTGACACTACCCTGCCTGGCTGTCCTTGAAACATAACTGCAAAGCAGAGCAGACTGGCCTGCAACTCATTCATACTGGGGTTAAAGACCAGGCTGGCCTTAAACTCAGAGATCCATCTGCCTCTCGGACTATACACAAGTCTCTCTGGACTGACTGAAACATACAAAAGAAGAAATTCCATTACCCCAACATAGGAAGACATCCCTGCTTGGAGACCTGCTGCAGGCGGGGCTTCAGGTCCCAAAGAGGCTGTGTAGAGTCAGCAGTCAGGGGAGAGAAAGAGAAGGCAGATGCGATCTGAGGGTGAATCAGGATGGGAGGAGACAGACACTGTCAGGGGCTGAACCCAGATGGCTGCTAGCAGCATTTTATTGAGAAAAGATTACACCTTTTATACTGTATAGTTGCACATGGGATTAAATGGGGAGAAGGGGCATGTGAGCTGGGGTGTCACTTGCGGTCAGAGGTTGAGGACCTTGACAATGGGCACCAGTCATATGTTAATGGAAGCGTCATAAGTTCCTCCCAAGGGAATGAAGACCCTTATCCAAATGCCTGACCTTGGGAAATGATTTCTGAGGAGCAGACACTATAATATAAATTCTTAGTCTTACTATAGAGGCCTGTTCCCCTCATAATGCTCTCAAAAAGGAAGGTCCTGACATCTTACTCTTTCCCCACTATACCAGTATCATTCTGATTTCTCTGTACTTATCAACTGAACTCTTGCCTTTAAAGGCCTCAGGCTCTGCATCTGAATCGTAGGCATTTTATCCTTGGGATCAGGTGTATCTAACATTCCTCTTCTTGGTGTAATTAGGAGGGCATAATAGAATTCCTGAGTCCCCGGTCGGGGGGAGGGGATTTTTTTCCAAAGAATTATTTTGTTTAGAGAGGCTACCATTATATACATTTTTATCCTCTACCAAAGCCCACACAAAATTTCCCAAAGGGAAAGGCATTAATATTGAGAATCATCATAAAAAAAAGTATGACAGTGTTGGAGAAGGGTGGTCTGCAGTGTCGAAATGGTGGAACTTTGTCAAACAGCAACGGTCACTATGTGGTCCACACTTACAGCCTTCAGTCATTATACTGGGCATCCCGTGGGGATCTTGCACATTATGTCATTAACCACAGCCACTTTTGGACCCGTATGTGCTTGCTGGCATTTCAGGCATCATGCTAGCCTGTCCCCTTGGTCCCCACTATAGCCACTAAGAGCATCCCCTGCATGCATACATCATCAGCATTCAGGCAGATACCTCTCCAGCCCTGGGTCCTGTGGCCGATAGATCATTGTGCGCATGTCTTTGTGAGAATGTGCTAAGCCTCCTTGAAAAGCAAGCTCCACCGGTTCTCCCTTCCCTTCCCTGCCACTTTTTCAAAGAGGCAGCAAGGACTTTGCGCCTCTCCCTTCGAATCGCCACCCCACCTTTCTCCCTTTTTCCCAATAAACCTCCCATGTGAGTTTGCTGTATGGTGTGATTTGTCCTCGCTGTTTTTAAATTAAAACACACGCCATGTCCTTTCCTCTTGACCCACGTGCCCTCTTCCACTGTATACTCAATAATATAAACAAATAAGCAAATTAATGAAAGAGTGA